ACTGTCTCAAAAGAAAGAAAGAAAGATAGAAAAAAATTAATTTTTTTTAAATGCAGGAAATAACTGAATTTGACATCTACCGGGCAGTAAAAGCCACTAAATAACAACATACATTTGGGTTTAAAAGCATAGTCTAACATGGTAGAATGAATTGTGAAAGCACTTTTATGGAATTCAGAAAGTAGTATGACGTTCAGTTGTGTACAAACTAAATGCTTTTGGATTTCCTAAGATACTCTATCTGAATCAGACTTTACAGAGAAAATGATTGTGTTTAAGCCCGAACAAATATACTTTTCATGGAATGTCGTTCTTTTGTGAAATAGTTTGCTTACTAAACAGATGGAGTAAGCATGAAATGCTTCCCAAGATTGGGTCTGCATTTTTCCCAACTCTTTCTAAAGAGAATTTTGGAATATTTGTATGGGTACCAATACCAGTTAGAAAAATGCAAAATAACAGTATTTCACTTTTGAAAAGGTATGATATTTATATCCTCTGAAATTTTCCCTTCTTTAGCCTTCAGAAACTATGCTTCATAAATTTGTCTAGCGATTGTTGCTATCAATCTGGCATCTTAGTAGCTTTTCCTTATTTTCTTTCCTTTTTTTATTTTATTTTATTTTTTTGAGATGGTGCCTCACTCTGTCACCCAGGCTGGAATGCAGTGGCGAAATCTCAGCTCACTGCAACCTCCACCTCCTGGGTTCAAGTAATTCTCCTGACTCAGCCTCCCGAGTAGCTGGGATTACAGGTGTGAGCCATCACACCTGGCCCAATATGGCATATTTATTAAGTTTCTGTTATAGGAGGTTTTTTTGGAACTTTTTCTTCAAGTAAAGTTATATTCATCTTCTTAAGTAACCCAACATATGATAGTTTAAAGGGTAGCAGTCCTACTCAAAGAGGAGGTAGGAGTTCCAGCTCTTCTTTTCCTAGGACAATCCCAGTATCCTATCTGAGATTACCCCAAGGCCACATGAGTGGCATTTGAAAAAACTGCACAAGACATTGTAGCAATTGTAGCTAAATAATTTTTCAGATATTACTGATTTAAGACTAGGACGATTGTGTGGACAGGGCATTTTTAAAAACATGCTAATTATTTTAAGAAACTTTCAACTAGCACATTTAAAACATTACTACATGGCCGGGCATGGTGGCTTACACCTGTAATCTCAGCATTTTGGGAGGCCAAGGCAAGCAGATTGTCGAGGTCAGGAGTTCCAGACCAGCCTGGCCAACGTGGTGAAACCCCTTCTCTACTAGAAGTACAAAAAAATTAGCCAGGCATGGTGGTGTGTGCCTGTAATCCCAGCTACTCGGGAGGCTGAGGCAGGAGAATCATTTGAACCCAGAAGGTTACAGTGAGCCAAGATGGCACCACTGCACTCCAGCCTGGGCAACAGACTGGGACACCGCCTCAAAATAAATAAATAAATAAGTAAAACACTACAAACTCCAAGAGATAATTTCTCTCTCACCTTATATAAAACTTCAAACACGAAGTGTCCAGCTTGAAGCAGGCTGTGTCTGAGAGGAGCACTGCTTTCAGCTGGACACACCCCGACTGAGGTTTGATGTGAAGACAGAGATAAATTACAGAACTGAGAGGAACCAAGGCAGGTATGAATCGACTGCTTGCCATGCCCCAGGCACAGGGCTAAGTCCCTTAAATGTCTCCCCTAAGCTAATTCTCCTGAACCCTCATCGTTACTACTTCCGTTGTACAGATGAGGAAACCGAGGCTTAGAGTCCTCAAGTCATTTGCCCATTTACACACTCATGCGCAGTCAGGCCCGTCTTGGAATGGAACAGTGAGTGAGCGGAAGCACTCCGCCCCTCTAAGCTCTTTGCCCCAGGGCCGTGGAGGGCACATATAGGATCAGCAGACCCGAACTTCTATCTCATCATCCTTATTGCTGTTACTGAGACCATTTCCCGGTTCGAAGACTCCAGTTACCCACGAATTTAGCATAGCTGGGTGATCCTCCGTTTTCTTTCCTTGTTCTTTCTGCTACCACCACCAGATCCAGGCCCTCCCTCCTTACTTTGCACTAAGACTATTCACCAGCTCCCAGTTGGCCTCCTGACTCAAATCTTGCCCCTCTCATATTAACCTACTAGAATACTGATGGGTAATTTCACATTCTATCCAAAAGCCTTCCTTTCCTACAGAATGATGTCCAGGCCTGGCATTCAGGATTTTACCACAGGGCAGCCCCCTTCCTTTCTGCAACACTGCCCTCTTTTCCTGCCATTCCAACACCCCCTCTCTTTAGGCAAAGTTTCTTCCAGGACGGGAACTAACTCTCCATGTCCCTGACTAGCACATACAAGTGACATTGGGCAAGTCACTTCCCTACCCCAGGTCTCAGATTCTCTACATAAACTAAAAGACTTGTACATCTCCCTAAAGTTTCTTTAAAAGCTGTAAGATTTTAGCTGGGTGTGGTGGCTTACTCCTGTAATCCCAGCACTTTGGGAGGCCAAGGCAGGAGGGTCTCCTGAGATCAGGATGTCAAGAACAGCCTGGCCAACATGATGAAACCCCGTCTCTACAAAAATGCAAAATTACCCAGGCATGATGGTGGATGCCTGTAATCCCAGCTACTCAGGAGGCTAAAGCAGGAGAATTGCTTGAACCTGGGAGGCGGAGGATGCAATGAGCCGAGATTGCGCCACTGCATTCTAGCCTGGGCAATTGAGCAAGACACAATCTCCAAAAAAAAAAAAAAAGCTATAAGATTCCATGTCATATTGTCAATGACTACATGACTATGTCCTATGGGAAGTATAAGGCCCTTTGGAAGGACAGCAGACTGACATGGGAATTAGTACACACACACACACACACACACACACACACACACACACACCCTGTCCATATATTTTAGAGACAGGGTCTTGCTCTGCCACCAAGTCTGGAGTACAGTGGCACATTCATAGCTCACTATAACCAACTCCTAGGCTCAGGTGATCCTCATGTGTCTCAAGTAGCCGGCACCACAGCCCAGCTACTGGGCATGCCACCATGCCCAGCTAATGTTTTTTTTATTTGTAGGGACAGGGTCTTGATGTGTTGCCCAGGCTGATCTCAAACTCCTGAGCTCAAGCAATCCTCTCACTTCAGCCTCCCAAAGAGCTGGGATTACAGGCATGAGTCACAGTGCCCAGCCACAAATTAGTAGATAATTGACCCAAATGTATATATGGAATCATGATGGTGGGTGCCTGTAATCCCAGCTACTCAGGAGGCTGAGGCAGGAGAGTTGCTTGAACCTGGGAGCTGGAGGTCAGTGAGCTCAGATCGTGCCACTGCACTCCAACCTGAGTGACACAGTGAGACTCCACCTCAAAATAAATAAATAAATAAAATTTTTAAAACTAAAAATAAAAAGTCGGGAACCTTCTGACTGGGAGACGGGATGGGGTGACTCATGTGGTAGATCACCCAGCTGTATGAAGATTATTGTTTTGGAAATCTGCCTTCTAGCTTGTGTCAGATTTGTGGAGGAAGGATGACTGTTCTAAAAAGGCAGGTACGACTGAAGGCAGCAGGAATGCTTTTACGTTGCTGGCGGAAATGCAAGTTGATGCAGCCACTTTGAAAACTGTTTGGCTCTTTAAAAATAAATGTCAGCACAAAACCCAGTAATATCTACCCAAGAGAATCAAAAATATGTTCATACAAAGTCTTCTGTATTAAAGTTCAGTCCAGGCATGGTGGCTCATGCCTGTAATCCCAGCACTTTGGGAGGCTGACACAGGTGAATCACCTGAGGTCAGGAGTTTGAGGCCAACATGGTGAAACCGCATCTCTACTAAAACCATAAAATTAGCCGAGCGTGGTGGCACGTGCCTGTATTCCCAGCTACTTGGGAGGCTGAGGCAGGAGGATCGTTTGAACCTAGGAGGCAGAGGTTGCAGTGAGCTGAGATCATGCCACTTCACTCCAGCCTGGGTGACAGAAGAAGACTCTTTCTCAAAAAAAAAAAAAAAAATAGGCTGGGTGTGGTGGCTTATGCCTATAATCCCAGCACTTTGGGAGGCCAAAGCAGGCGGATTGCCTGAGCTCAGGAGTTCGAGACCAGCCTGGCAACATGGTAAAACCCTGTCTCTACTAAAATACAAAAAAACTAGCTGGGCGTGGTGGCATGTGCCTGTAGTCCCAGCTACTCAAGAGGCTGAGGCAGAGGAATTATTTGAACCCAGGAGGCGGAGGTTGCAGTGAGGAGGCAGAGGTTGCAGTGAGCCAAGATTGTGCCACTGCACTCCAGCCTGGGTGACAGAGCAAAAGCAAAACTCTGGGAGAAAAATACTCCGTGTGTGTGTGTGTGTGTGTGTGTGTGTGTGTGTGTGTGTTGTGTTGAGGGTATTTAGGATCTATTAGTATTAGTACATTTCAAGTGTACAATGCTTTATGATTAACTGTGGTCATCATGCTGTACATTAGGTCAGCTGATAACTGTAAGTTTGTACCCTTCAACCCATGTCTGTGCATTTCCCTACCCCAGACCCTGGAAACCTCCCTCCAACTCTGTTTCTGTGAATAGGAGTGAGGCACATACTGATGTGGAACACAGGCTCAGTGAAAGAAGCCGGGCACAGAGATCACATAAGCTATGAATCCTCTCACACGAAATGTTCCGAAAAGCCAAATCTAGAGGAACCAAAAGATTAGTGGCGGCCAGCTGTGGGGTGGCAAAGGAGAGGGAATGCACGGGGGACTCTCTGGGGGTTAGGGACATTGGATTGTGGTGGAGCTTGCACAACTCTAAACTCACCAAATATCATTGAATCCAGTACTTTTTGGTTTTTGGTATTTTTTTGAGACAGAGTCTTGCTCTGTTCCCCAGGCTGGAGTGCAATGGCACAGTCTCGGCTCACTGTAGCCTCCACCTCCAGGGTTCAAGCGATTCTCCTGCTTCAGCCTCCCAAGTAGTTGGGATTACAGGCATCCACCACTACTACGCCCAGGTAAGTTTTTGTATTTTAGTTGAGAGGGGGGTTTCACTGTGTTGCCCAGGCTGGTCTTGAACTCCTGACCTCATGATCTGCCCATCTTGGCCTCTGAAAGTGCTGGGATTACAGGTGTGAGTCACGAAGCCCAGCCTTTTTTTTTTTTTTTTTTTTAATTGAGATAGGGTCTCGCTCTGTTGCCCAGGCTGGAGTGCAGTGGTGTGATTTTGGCTCACTGCAGCCTCCCAGGATTAAACCTCCCAGGCTTGAACAATATTCCTACCTCAGCCTCCCCAGTAGCTGGGACTGCAGGTGTGCACCACCACGCCCAGCTATTTTGTTTATTTGTTTGTTTTTGTAGAGCTGGGATTGCATGGAGTTGCCCAAGCCCATCTCGAGCTCCTAGGCTCAAGCGATCCACCCTACCTAAGCTTCCTGTAGTGGTGGGATTACAGGTGTGAGCCACCGCACCTGGCCAGGATTTCTTTCTTTTTAGTGAACAAATACCGAATTGGTTTTCAAACAGAAACAAAAAGCAGTATACAGTTATGAAAGGAAGCAACTCAAGGATCATCTTTTGTCATAAACGACAGAAACCAGAAGAGCAGCGCTGTTAAGAAACGACTCTGCATGCTGCTGGAATGTATGGAAAAGGCTGCTGTGCGTCAGGAAGACGGGCCACGAGGCCCTGCCTGAGGCTCGGAGGTGAGTTTTTAGGCCAGTTATGGTGATTGCAGTTCACAAAGAATGTGAAGACGCTGATTCCTCCAGAGAACAGCATAAACAAGGCTATTTAGGGATGGTAAAACTTGGATGCTATGCTGAAAAGAACTGAGATGTTTTTCCCCACAGAGAAAAAAACTCAGGCTTCTTTTATATAAAATATGGGACTTTGGCCCAGAGCAATGGCTCATGCCTGCAATCCCACCACTTTGGGAGGCCTAGGCAGGCAGATCACTTGAGGTCAGGAGATAGAGACCAGCCTGGCCAACTTGGTGAAACCCCGTCTCTACTAAAAAATACAAAAATTAGCTGGGTGTGGTAGCGCACACCTGTAATCCCAGCTACTCAGGAGGCTGAGACAGAATTACTTAAACCTGGGAGGCAGAGGTTGCAGTGAGCCGAGATCACGCCACTTCACTCCAGCCTGGGTGACAGAGCGAGACTCAAAAAAAGGAAAATATGGGACTATGTCAGGAATATGCCACAACATGATTAACTGTACCATGAAAACGCCAATGAAATGCTCTTTGAGACTCAGAAGAAGGAAAACAGCATAAACTGGCTGCTCCTCATTTATACCCCAGCATTTATGCTAAATTTTCCTTCTTCTGAGTCTCAAAGAGGGTTTAATTGGCATTTTCGTGCAGGGACCCCGTTTCATGCAGGGACCCTGGTCGACTCCCAAGGAACTATGGATAAAATTCAGGAAGTTCATAAATTGATGTGGGGAAAACTTGTTCCTTTACTAACCTGTAATTGGAATTTAGCATCTCGCACAATTCTGAATGCAGGCAATGAACTCCAATAGAATTAGCAGTACTTGTGACTTTATCACTAACAAAAGTGATAAATAGGCCACTATTTATAGGCTCACCCCTATAATGCCAGCACTTTGGGAGGCCGAGACAGGCGGATCACGAGGTCAGGAGTTCAAGATCAGCCTGACCAATATAGTGAAATCCTGTCTCTACTAAAAATACAAAAGTTAGCTGGGTGTGGTGGTGCTCACCTGTAGTCCCAGCTACTCAGGAGGCTGAGGCAGGAGAATCACTTGAACTTGGGAGGAGGTTGAGATCACACCACTGCTCTCCAGCCTGGGCGACAGAGCAAGATTTCATCTCAAAAAAAAAAAGCCATGGTTTCAAATTATATTACTGTTGCTATGGAAATAAATTTATCCTCAGTTATAAAATGCATTACTTAGTTTGTTTCTTGCAATTACAGACTAACAGAGACTGGATTGATCCTCCCACCTTTAACAACTAAAAATCCAGATGTCATTGATGAAACAGTGTTTTTCAGCCATTAGACAACAGGTAGCAAAGGACAGTGATAGAGAAGGGAAACAAACCAGCTGAGCCCAATGATTGCTTGCTGCCCAGAGAGTGCCCAGGCCACTGTAGAGCGAGGGCAGTCCAGGTGGGCCTGCCGGTCTGTCTGCACTGAGTGGACAGAGCTGGTGAAGGAGGCCCAGCAGCTGGAATTCGCAGGGCATCACTGAAAGGAAGAGAGCTGCTCAGCCAGCCCTGGAGATGCGCAGAGGGCTCCGGGGAGCCTGCCGCAGAGTCATCATCAGCATGTGCCTGTGAGGAAACTACCTGAGGCTGGGAAAGAACCAGAGGAGGCTGGGCATGGTGGCCTGTAATCCCAGCACTTTGAGAGGCCAAGGCAGGCAGATCACCTGAGATCAGGAGTTCAAGACCAGCCTGGCCAACATGGTGAAACCACATCTTTACCAAAAATACAAAAATTAGCTGGGCGTGGTAGCACACGTCTATAATCTTAGCTACTTGGGAGGCTGAGGCAAGAGAATCTTTTGAACCTGGGAGGTGAAGGCTGCAGTGAGCCAAGATGGTACCACTGTACTCCAGCCTGGGCCACACAGTGAGACGCTGTCTAAAGAACCACAAAGGAGGAGACGTAACAAAATCTGGAGCTCACACAGACCCAAGAATAGTTCCTTTTTCCACCATCCTAGAGTAGAAAGCCTCATAATTGATGAGACATCAGGTAGAGTGGAAAACTGGCCCGAGACTAAAGGAGGTTCTCGTATTGCTTAACGATGCTTAAAGATACGCCTTCAGGCCAGACATGGTGGCTTACGCCTATAATCCCAGCACATTGGGAGGCCAAGGCGAGCGGATCACCTAAGGTTGGGAGTTCAAGACCAGCCCAACCAACATGGAGAAACCCCATCGCTACTCAAAATACAAAATTAGCTGGGTGTGGTGTCACATGCTTGTGATCCCAGCTACTTGGAAGGCTGAAGCAGGACAATGGCTTGAACCTGAGAGGCAGAAGTTGCAGTGAGCCAAGATTGTGCCATTACACTCCAGTTTAGGCAACAAGAGCAAAACTGTGTCTCAAAAAAAAAAAAGGTATGCCTCCAAAGCAGGAGTAGCGGAAGCATATGTGAAGGGCCAGAGAGTGAATATTCTCAGCTTTCCAGGACATACAGTCTCTGTTGCAGCAACTCAGCTCTGCCCTTGTAGCATGAAATGACGACAATATGTAAATGCATGAGGGGCTATGTTCCATAAAAAGTTATTTATAGACTGAGTACTTAATTTAATTTTCACCTTCTACAAAATATTATTCTTTGGATACTTTCAACCACTTAAAAATGCAAAAAGCATTCTTACCTCATGAGCCATCCAAAATCAGAGGTGAGCAGGGGGCAGATTTGGCCTATGGGCTATAGCTTGCTGACTTTTATTTTTTATTTTTTGAGATGGAATCTCACTCTGTTGCCCAGACTGAACTGCAGTGGTGTGATCTCGGCCCACGGCAACCTCTGCCTACTGGGTTCAAGCCATTCTCCTGCCTCAGCCTCCCAAGTAGCTAGTAGCTGGGACTACAGGCGCCCACTTTTTTGTATATTTAGTGGATATTTTTGTATATTTTGTATATTTAGTGGGTTTCACTATGTTGGCCAGGCTGGTCTCGAACTCCTGACTTCAGGTGATCCGCCCACCTCAGCCTCCCAAAGTGCTGGGATTACAGGCGTAAGCCACCTCACCTGGCCCACTTGCTGACCTTTGATCAAGAGGACTGAATTGTTTCTCATTAACTGTGTACCAGAGCAAGGCTCAAAAATATTTAAAAGAATACAAAATAAATAAACAAATCCAGCAACCAACAATGTCAAATTCACAATGTCTGACATCCAGTCAGAGAGTTCCTGTTACGTGCTGGAAGCAGTGACTCATGCCTATAATCCTAGTGCTTTGTGATGGCTTGAGCCCAGGAGTTTGAGGCCGCAGTTACCTATGATCATTTCACTGCACTCTAGCCTGGGTAACAGAGCAAAACCCTGTCTCTAAAAAAAATAATAAACCGGCGGGGTGTGGTGGCTCATGCCTGTAATCCCAGCACTTTGGGAGGCTGAGGCGGGTGGATCACCTGAGGTCAGGAGTTCGAGAGCATCCTGACCAAGATGGAGAAACCCCATCTCTACTGAAAATACAAAATTAGCTGGGCATGGTGGTACATGCCTATAATCCCAGCTACTCAGGAGGCTGAGGCAGGAGAATCACTAGAACCTGGGAGACGGAGGTTGTAGTGAGCCAGTGAGTGATGCGCAAGGAGGACTGAAACCAGACCCCACCCCTGCCCCTGCCAAAACAGCCCCACTAAGCCAGGCAGATCAAGTTCTAGGTCAGACCATGGAGCCAGTGCGGGAAGTCCTTAGCAGTTCTGGTCCTCTCAGAGGAGTCCCCAGTTTCTTCTAACACATGGGCCTAATTCTTTTTTCTTAAAGTGAATTTATATCAGGGTGTCTCAGTCCATTTTCTGCTACTATAACAGAATACCACAGGTTAGGTGATTTATAAAGAAAATAAATGTATTTAATGCACAGTTCTGGAGGTTGGGAAATCAAAGAGTACAGTGCCAGCATCTGGTGAGGGCCTTTGTGCCCCATTATAAAGTCATGAAGGACATCACTGGGCCAGAGGGCAAGAGTATTTCAGCTCAAGTCTCTCTCTTCTTATAAAGCCACGAGTTCCATCATAGTCACCCCACTCTGATGACCTTATCTAGTCCTAATGACCTCCCAAAGGCCCCACCTTCAAATAACATAAACACATAAATTTGGGAATCAAGTTTCCAACACATGAAATTTGGAAGACACGTTCAAACCACAGCACACGGGGACTCTAGGAGGGGCAGTCGTGGTGGGGAATTGAAAGCACAGGGAGAGGATGTCTCCACTCTTGGCCCTGCCTTCGCTACTCACAGCGAGTCTTCAAAGGATTCCTCAGACGTGTTTCTTGATTCTGTTGATAAGCAGAAAGGGTGGGGTCTTGGGAGGCTGTATTTGTTTTCAGCAGCACCTCACAAAAAGCCACACTGTTTAAAAAGATCACAAGTTCTTGCAGCTAGCATCTGACTTCTAATATCTAAGACAAGTAATGGGAAATTTTTCCCCACTACCCTTCAACAAAAGGAGAGAGGAGATCCTACAGAGTTGAAATGATTCTTTGGTTAGATGTAGGAGTAATACTGTGAAAAAATAATTCTGGGGAGGTTGGAATACAACATGCAAACATATGCAACCTTCAGAAGCAGAGGGTCAAGCCGCAGCACCCAAGGGTGTGTGGGCGGTGGTGGTGGGAGAGAGGAATACCAGAAAGGTCTATTTAGACCATCCTCCCCCAACTCACCTGCCTTAAAACAAAACCCGTCATGCATCTCACGGAGATTTGTTGGATGAACAAACACCATCTAAAAAGAAGACCCTATCCTTGGAAAAAGTTCCTCTCCCTCCCTCCACCTGTCTGTCTACCCCTCCCGCCAGCCATGGGTCAGTCCCATTGCAGTCCTAGTTCTGTGCTAGACACTGAGTTTAAAGATGACCAAGACCTGGGGTCAGGTCATGATGGCTCACACCTGTAATCCCAGCACTTTGGGAAGCCAAGGTGGGTGAATCACGAGGTCAGGAGTTTGAGACCAGCCTGGCCAAGAGACCAGTCTAACCAATATGGTGAAACCCCGTCTCTACTAAAAATATAAAAATTAGCCAGGCGTGGTGGTGGGTGCCTGTAATCCCAGCTACTTGGGAGGCTGAGGCAGGAGAACTGCTTGAACCCGGGAGCCAGAGGTTGCAGTGAGCGGAGATCACACCATTGAACTCCAGCCTGGGCGACAGAGTGAGACTCCCATTCAAAAAAAAAAGATGACCAAGATCGAGATCCCACCCTGAAAGGACGACTTCTCACTAGTCAAGGACAAAAAATAATGAAGCTTATTATCAGAGCAATGCATGAGTGCATGAGGGACATGTTGTTTGAAGCAGTTTTACCCTCCTTAGAGCTGCCTTGCACTTCTTCATATTCTCCTACTGCACTGGGTCCTTTCTACTTTGTGAGTTATTGTAGGCGTCTCATCTGCCTCCTTGGCTGTGCTCTCCTCAGGATAGAGTCCATGTCTTGAGTCATGTTTCTACCCTACGCATCGGGATTTCTCCAAGTGAGGTCCAGGCTCGCCTTTATCAGTCAACTGGAAGAGCTGGTTAAAATGCATATAACTGGCCGGGGCAGTGACTCACGCCTGTAATCCCAGCACTTTGGGAGGCCGAAGCGGGTGGGTCACCTGAGGTTGGGAGTTCAAGACCAGCCTCGCCAATTCAGTGAAACTCTGTTTCCACTAAAAATACAAAAATTAGCCAGGTGTGGTGGTAGGCACCTGTAATCCCAGCCACTCGGGAGGTTGAGGTAGGAGAATGACTTGAACCCAGGAGGCGGAGGTTGCAGTGGGCCGAGATAGCACCATTGCACTCCAGCGTGGGCAACAAAGCCAGACACCATCTCAGAAAATAAAATTTTAAAAATGCATATTCCCAGGCCCACCCTAGACTGACCTTACACTGACCAGACTGGCTGGGTCAGAATACTGGGAGGAATTCTGCATTTTAACAAGCTTCCCAGGTGATTCTGTTGTAGAAGAAATGGGTCTTTGTCACACGGCCATGAAAAATTAGGTGCACAGACAATTTGAAGGGTGAGAATGATAGAATTGATTGGGCAAAAAGGGAAAAAAGGGAAAGAGGGACCCTCCGCAAAGCCAGGGTCCTGCTAGTGTGTTTCCTGCCTGGCAGGTGGAATCCCAGGTTCCACCCAGGAAAAGGCAAGGCCAGGCTTCTCCCCACTGTACATGGCATGAACTTCTGTGGCTCTGCCCCAGTGTGCATTCCTCCCAGGGAGCCAGGGGGTTGGAGTTTCTCTGGGGACTCCTTCCTGCCTAGCTGTCTCAATTCTAATTCATGCCCATGCGAGGACTCTGTACCTGATGCACCTTGCATGTAAGGGAAAAACCCAGATGAATTAATGTTTGATTCATAAAGCCAAGCAGAAAAACAGATATTCACACTATCGTTTTAGCTATTTAAAACACCACATTCTCTTTCTTTTTCTTTTTCTTTTTTTTTGAGATGGAGTCTCCCTCTGTAATCCAGGCTGGAGTGCAGTGGCGCGATCCCGGCTCACTGCAACCTCCACCTCTCAGGTTCCAGCAGTTCTCCTGCCTCAGCCTTCCAAGTAGCTGGGAATACAGGCATGCACCACCACGCCCAGCTAATTTTTGAATTTTTTTAGTAGAGACCGGGTTTCATCATGTTTGCCAGAAGTCTCCATCTCTTGACCTCTTGATCCACCCATCTCATCCTCCCAAAGTGCTGGGATTACAGGCGTGAGCCACCACACTCGGCCTAACACACCATATTCTTAAGCAAAAAGCTCAAAAAAGACCATAGATGCACTTTGTACAAAAATGTGCAGAGTTGTACTTCTTTCTTTTCTTTTTAACATTTTTATTTTTTTGAGACGGAGTTTCGCTCTTGTTACCCAGGCTGGAGTGCAATGGCGCGATCTCAGCTCACCGAAACCTCCACCTCCTGGGTTGAAGCAATTCTCCCGCCTCAGCCCCCTGAGTAGCTGGGATTACAGGCACGAGCTACTATGCCCAGCTAATTTGATTTTTAGTAGAGACAGGGTTTTACCATGTTGACCAGGATGGTCTCGGTCTCTTGACCTTGTGATCCACCTGCCTTGGCCTCCCAAGGTGCTGGGATTACAGGCTTGAGCCACCGCGCCCGGCCTCTTTATAACATTCTGTCTCTAGACCCGAGGGCCCACTACGTGGTATAGTCTTGATGATAACAAACCAACACACAAAAAAAACCTCTCGTTCCAACCAATCTAGATTTCATATGTGTCGGAAGCTTGGAAACGGGCTAACGCTGTTTCAGAGAGAGATCTCTACCATCTGCTCAGCTAGAGCACGGCTCAGTTGCTATTTTTGGCATGAATACTGGATTCTCCAAGAAAGCAGCGTTTCCCAAACTCCAAATGTTCTAATTTCCCCATCAGTTTCACCATATCCACCTGTGGCCTGTACAGTTATTTGCTGAATTTTTTCTAATTCAGCCTTCTCCTAAATAATAAAATCATGAGTTTGATGCGCTACGTATACCCTTAAATACATTGAAATCAATATGTAACATTAAATGAAAACAAACGAGTGGTTTTTTTGTTTTGTTTGTTTTTGAGACAAAATTGTTTTCAAACAACTTCGTTGCCTGGGCGGGAGTGCGGTGGCGCCATCTTAGCTCACTGCAAGCTGTGCCTCCTGGGGTCAAACCATCTTCCCACCTCAGCCCTCCTGAGTAGCTGGGACTACAGATGCGCACCACCACGCCAGCTAATTTTTGTATTTTTTTTGTACAGATGAGGCTTCTTTCATTGTGTATGCCAAGCTGGTTTTGAACTCATGAGCTCAAGAGATCCACCTGCCTTGGCCTCCCAAAGTGCTGGGATTACAGACATAAGTCACTGCACCTGGCTGAAACTGGTGTTCTTGTGTTCTTTTTCTTTCTTTCTTTCTTTTTTTTTTTTTTGAGGCAGAGTTTCGCTCTTGTCAGGGCTGAAGTGCAATGACGCGATCTCGGCTCACTGCAACCTCTGCTTCCCAGGTTCAAGCGATTCTCCTGCCTCAGCCTCCCGAGTAGCTGGGATTACAGGCACGTGCCACCACGCCTGGCTAATTTTGTATTTTTAGTAGGGACTGGGGGTTCTCCATATTGATCGGGTGGGTCTCGAACTCCCGACCTCAGGTGATCCTCCTGCCTCAGCCTCTCAAAGTGCTAGGATTACAGGCGTGAGCCACAGTGCCCAGCCAAAACTGGTGTTCTTAAAGCTCTAACAGAATCCTAGGTGACCCTTTGGGAGGCTGCTGCTGGAGTGGGGCAGGGCCCCAGGCCAGAGCCCAAAGCCTTTCTACACTCTCTAGTGTTCTAAGTTTCCTCCACACTGCCTTGCATTGAAATGAAGAAGTCCCAGGAGAGCATGGTGACACCAGCATGAAGCTTCGACTATTAATCATCCAGGCATACCCGCCCACCCACTGGGGTTGAGATTTCAGCATGGACTGTCAGAAAGGACAGCCCCTGAGCAGCAGTGCTGACTAGCAGATCTGAGTTTCACAGAAGTGTGAGCTGGGGCCCAGGTTTCCCGGGCCTCTGCTGCCATCCCAGGTCACACCCACACAGCTCAGCCAGGCGTTCCCGCTGCTTCCACGAGCCACCAAGCATGAGCTCCCCAGCATGTCCCCATCTGTCTCCTTGAAGCAGGTGACATCCCTCCCAGCCCTGGGAGTCTGAAGGAGAAGTCGGCTCTTGGCCCAGGAGATTTGCATGCTACACATCTATTTTTCCTGTGGGTCTGTCTGCCTTTGACGCCACGAATGTCCCGCATCCAACCACTTGTCAGAGGTGGCTGTTTAATGCCAGCCAAAGAAAACAAGCTTCCCACCGCCCTGCACTAAAGGTGAGGTGACAGCTGGCAGATGGTTAGTGACTCACTCCAGTGGACACCGACCCACAGACGCGTTTTGAGGGGCTGCTACCGAGGGCATGTATCAAGCCAAGGGGCTGGTCCGCGAACAATGAGGGATTGCAACAGCTCTTTAGTTAACCTCAGCTCTGCAGAGACAGGCACTCAGGGGGTGAGGTTTAGGGAAGTCAAACACCCCCAGCATTTTCCCCAGAACAGCTAGACATGTCAGAAGACCTGAGTTCCAATTTCACTCTCTTTCTTACCAGCTCTGTGACCTGAAGTGACTCGCAGTGACTTCTCCGCGCCTTGGTGCCTTCACCTGTGAAAAGGAGGTGGCCCCGGCTCTGCAGGGCTCTCGGGGCTGAATCGAGTGTGCTCTTACCCCAGAGACGCTGAACCTTCAGGCAGCATTCCTTCCTCAGCGGGCAGGAATCAAGCACGCAGGAGAGGGGGCTACCTGGCTGCACCCCTGGAGAGCCTGGGATGTAGCAGCCTCTGTTCCTGCTTCCGGTCAGTCATGGCCTATTAAATGCATGTGAATGCACGAAGATTAAATAACAAAAAGCACCAAGGCAGTCAGAATGAATTCACTTGGGGGTGGCTGGGGGTGGGGAGGGACCAGGATGGAGGGTGGTGGGGTAGTTAATTTTTCTTTTCTTTTTTTTTTTTTGAGACAGAGTCTCACTCTGTCTCCCAGGTTGGAGTGCAGTGGCACGGTCTTGGCTCACTGCAACCTCTGACTCTCTGGTTCAAACGCTTCTCCTGCCTCAGCCTCCTGAGTAGCTGGAATTACAGGCGCGCACCACTATGCCTGGCTAAATTTTGTATTTTTAGTAGAGATGGGGTTTCAACACTTTGGTCAGACTGGTCTTGAACTCCTGACTTTATGATCTGCCCGCCTCGGCCTCCCAAAGTGCTGGGATTACAGGCATGAGCCACCACGCCTGGCCCCAGGGTAGTTAATTTTTTTTAAATGCTATTCATGTCTTTGCAATTAATGTAGTCTTTCTCAAGATAATTATAGAGGGTCACATTATGCCACCAGATCAGTGAGGCAGGCAGTAACCTTTCAGGAGGCAGGAGTGGGAAGGTGCTCAGGATACAGTGCTCAGAAAAGGCTTTACGGGCCAGGGGAACTTGCTTTGGGTAATGAGAAGGGTACCAGTTTGGACAGGTGAGACTCGAAGGCCTTCTCTTACAGGGGCTAATGGCCAGAGGCTGGATCACAGAGGGGCAAGACTGCAAGGAGATGGGAGGCAGGCCCAGGAGACCTAGATTCATCTGGGAAACTTGAACTCAGAGGGATCCACTGGACAGACACCAGGTCAGTGTGCACCTGCTGTCCAGTATTCAAGGCCTGTACATAGCAAATATTGGAAATGTTAGTACTTGGGGCTGGCCTTGGTGGCTTACGCCCGCAATCCCAGCACTTCGGGAGGACGATCACCAAGACCAGCCTGGCCAACATGGCAAAAACGTCTCTCTACTAAAAATACAAAAATCAGCTGAGAGTGGTGGCGCGCCTGTAATTCCAGCTATTCCAGAGGCTGAGGCACGAGAATCGCTTGAACCTGGGAGGCAGAGGTTACAGTGAGCCAAGATTATACCACTGCACTCCAGCCTGGGCAACAGAGTGAGCCTCTGTCTCAAAACAAAACCAGGAAATGTTAGTACTAGGCTCATTTAAGAAACAATGGAGAAAAAAAAAAAAAGAAGAAGAGAGAGACTCTCACGTTTAAAGAGAAAAAACCAAAAGCCAAAACCTAAGCAAAAAGACCCAGGGAGAGTTAAACCACAGAAAGTATAGAATGAAGCTGAGTTGAGGGATTTAATAAAATTTCCGAATCTTAAAAGGACACTGGGCCGGGTCTGGGAAGTGAAAGATACAGTCATCGGTATCATCCTTTTCTCCCCCACAGGAAACCAACAAAGAGCCACTCAGAATTGGGAGACGTTGGCTGATGGGGGAAAAGGTTGGGGAGCCGTTCTGGCGCCTGTGCTGAAATCTGGCTTCTCTCCACTCAGGTGAATGAGCTGGGAGGCACAGCTTCTGGAGTGATTTGCAAGAGATGCATCGGAGCTCAAGAAGGACAGCAGCCTGGCCAACAGCTTCTCACCCTCTCTGGGCAACAGTCTTTCCCAAATGAACAGTGGACAGAACAAGGCTCTGGAGGCTGGTGTCCTGGTCTGGAGTTCCCCGTCCCTGAAGCCCTGAGACTGCAGGGTTCAGAGCAGGTCCCTGACCTCTCTCAGCCTCAGGACCTCATTGGTGAGATGAGAACACACCTGGCACCCTCCAGGGGCAGCTGCGGGGTGGGAGGATACAGGGCCCTAGTCAGCGTCCCTCTGTCGGTCCATGTGGTTTATTTGCATGGTGGTGAGAGTGGGCTCCCAGGGAGGAAACACTTTTTCTCTGTCAGTTTCACCCACCAGCAACCTCCCATCTGGCTCTCCTAAAATTCTTGGCGTTGAGGCTCATTCTGAACTCAGGAAGGATGCAGGAATTAACAGGCTTCCTGGGCTAGCCTAGGAGCCACCCCACACAGGCCGTGGGAAGGTGCATCCCCGTCTCAGGAGTTCTACTCAACAGATTCACCAGCACACTCATGGCCCACGTCTGTGAGTTGGAGGTTTCTGCCAATAACTGCCAATGTCACCACTCTGGCAAATCTGCCCTCTGAATGTGAACATGGAGTTGTTGGAATTTATTTTTTAAAATATGTGCTTGTGCGCAGTGTGGGGAGGGATGTAAAAACACATGCCCTTCCTAGATGTTGTCTATTCTTGGAGATGCTAAAGCTGTTCTCCAGAGGGAACTCAGCAGCAGCAACTGTATATACTATATCTAAGGGTTTGAACCCCGGCTCTGCCGCTTAGTAGATGTGGATTTGGAACAACTTTTTTGTGTGTCCCTTGGCCTCAGTTTACTCATCTGTAAAATGGGAGTGGTTGTGTGGATAAATGAGAGAATGCTTGCAAAATATGAAGGCTGAGTCAGGTGCATTGTTAAGTATTAAACAAGAGAGATTGGCCAGGCACAGGGGCTCACGTCTGTAATTCCAGCACCTTGCAAGCTGAGGTAGGTGGATCCCTTGAGGTCAGGAGTTCAAGACCAGCCAGGCCAACATGGTGAAACCCCATCTCTACTAAAAATACAAAAATTAGCCGGGAGCGGTGGTGGGTGCCTGTAATCCCAGCTACCTGGAAGGCTGAGGCACAAGAATCTTTTGAACCCAGAAGATGGAGGTTGCCGTGAGCCAAGATCGCACCACTGCCATCTGGCCTGGATGACAAAGTGAGACTCTGTCTCAAAAAAAAAAAAAAAAAAAGCGATTGTTAGTATTTTATTCCATAAATACTTAGTGAATGCCTGTAGTCACAGCACTTTGGGAGGCTAAGGTGGGCGGATCACAAAGTCAGGAGTTCAAGACCAGCCTGACCAACATGGTGAAACCCCATCTTTACTAAAAATACAAAAATTAGGCGGGAATGGTGGCACGAGCCTGTAATCCCAGCTGTTCAGGAGGCTGAGGCAGGAGAATCTCTTGAACCTGGGAGACAAAGGTTGCAGTGAGCTGAGATAGCATCACTGCACTCAGCCTCGGCAACAGGGTGAGACTCCTTCTCAAAAAAAAAAACCCAACCAAACAAACAAAACCATATACACAAGAAGTGAGAGGAGATGGACGATGCCAGGCAGGTGAATAAAATGCTGGGGGGAGAATGGTGATAAGAGCCATGGAGAGAAACAGCGAAGGGCAGGGGAAAGAGTGGGAGAAGTTGCAATAGGGTAATTAGGAGAAAAGTGATATTCAGGCACAGAGAGGTGCGCAGCCTAGCCACGCCACACTGGGGAGGCGTGTTCCAGAAAGAGAGCCCCCACGCTGCTGCTGCTGCCACCAGACCTTCTGGGGCTCGGGGAGACAGGGTGCCGCTCTGGGTAATTCCCAAAGGGGCTGCTCTTGGCTTTGTCTCAGTGACAATTTCCTCACTCCCAGGACCTCCAGTTCTTCCCGGGACGCCCCTTGTCTTGGTGGTCTTGGTGGCACCAGCTGTTTATTCTCTTCTCAGGCCCCGCCCACCGGCCAGCTCTGCCCTCCTCCGCCCCTTGGCTTCCTCAACCCTCTGCCTTTGAGCCACGCAGAATGTTGTGCCTTCCTTGAAGCTCTGAGGCTGTCACTGGCCCATGACCTTGGCAGGTGCCGTTCCCCTTGCCCAGACTCTTCCCTGGGCTCTCAACTCCGCCCCTTTCTCCCTCAATTTCTCCTCTTCCAGGTCTCAGCTTAACTACCCTCTCCTCCCCCAGGTCTTTGCTGACTCCCTGATCCCCACCTGCTGTTTGCCCTGGGTGTTTTCTCCACTGCAGCCTTTACCTGCCCCATCATAGCATTTAACACAGGATTACATGTCACTGCAGGGCGGGGCTGGTGCTGTGCTGCCCTATGGGAAGCGTGCCATGAATATTTGCTAAAGGAACATGTAAAAGAGGGAATATGTCTCCTCCTCCCAACCACTCCCCTGTCACAAGCTTACTCTCTTAGGCTCACAGTCACGACCACCGCACCCCCTTCCCCCCACCGCTGGGACCCAGGTGAAGCTTGTCCCTTCAGAGTTGGGCGCTCTGGGCAGCATTTCCTCTTCTTTCCAGAAGCTTCCTAAGTGGAGGAAGAAGCATAATCTTCCGTAGTGGAGGAGTGAGGCTGGGAGGGGCCTTTTTTCTTGGGGTGGGGATAATCAGTTATCTGGTCAACGAATCAGCCAAGGAATTATTTTTATCTCTTTTTTTTTCTTTTCTTTTCTTTTTTTTTTTTTTTGAGATGGAATCTCACTCCCTCACCCAGGCTGGAGTGCAGTGGCACAATCTTGGCTCACTGCAACCTCCACCTCCTGTCTCAGCCTCCCGAGTAGCTGGGATTACAGGCATGTGCCACCACACCCGGCTAATTTTTTTTGTATTTTCAGTAGAGATGGAGCTTCACTGCGTTGGCCAGGCTGGTCTTGAACTCCTGACCTCAAGTGATCTGCCCGCCTCAGCCTGCCAAAGTGTTGGGATTACAGGTGTGAGCCACTGCACCCGGCCTGCCAAGGAATTCTTCCATCCACCATGGGTGACATGAAAGAAATCACCTTCTCTTTCCCCAGCATCAAAGAAGTCCTGAGTACTGAAAATGGAAGCAAAAGCCCAGAAAAAAAACTAGGGAGAAAGAGAGAAAAGAAACTCAAGATGTTGATATTTTTACATTGACATCATTTTTATGCTGTTCTTCCGAGAGTGAACCAATAATGGACTTACTGTCTCCCAAGGGGCTCCTGGAGGTGCGCTCCTACTGTTCTTTTCTTTTGAGACAGTCTTGCTCTGTCATCCAGGCTGGAGTGCAATGGCGCAATCTCAGCTCGCCACAATCTCCGCCTCTTGGGTTCGAGCAATTCTCCTGTCTCAGCCTCCTGAGTACTTGGGATTACAGGCACCTGCCACCACACCCAGCTAATTTTTGTATTTTTAGTAGAGACAGTCTTTCACCATGTTGGTCAGGCTGGTCTCGAACTCCTGACCTCATGATCCACCCGCTTTGACCTCCCAAAGTGCTGGGATTACAGGCGTGAGCATTCTCGCCTGCTGTTCTCAATGGGGACATCAGAGGCCTGATCCCATGGAACAGTGAAGAATAAAGGAGAGCGTGAACTCATCTTGGTCCCTGTAGCAGACGTGCAGGAAACTGCACCCCAAGCACGCTCCCTCCAGGATGAAGGAACTTATTATTTCTCCAGTGGCCAGGAGCATGGGCTGCCAGCCAGTCCCTCTCCCTTCCCTGAAGGAGCCAGCACCTAATGACTGGATGAGAGGGGGTTACAAAGGGACCAGCTCTTCAGGCTGAGGTCCCTGTTGCATCCATGTTGCCCAGTCAGCTTCCTGCACACCTCATGATTTTGTTCCCAAGAGCACCTCCCCTACTCTCCATCTTAGGAACTGTTTCCAGATAACCTGACACAAGACAAACCAATATTTCAGAACTGTTAATATAAAAATTAGCCAGGTGTGGTGGCACATTCCTGTAATCCCCACTACTCAGGAGGCCGAGGAAGGAGAATTGGTTGAACCCAGGAAGTGGAGGTTGCAGTGAGCCAAGATCACGCCACTGCACTCCAGCCTGCCTGACAGAGGGAGACTCTATCTCAAAAAACAATAATAAAAATAAATAAATCAATAAAGTACTGCTATGTACTCTGTATGTCAGCTCCATCATGGGTCCTGCTGCAGGTGTGGGCTAGCCTTGGAACCTATACCTGTCACTGTGGACCTGGAGGAATACCTTGAGAAGTCAAATGACCAATTCTAATGACCTTTGAGGACAGAGAGATTTGAGCCCATATTTAGCCCACCCCACCCCACCCCAGGACCGTGGGGAGTGGTGGGACCTCAGGATTCCCAGGCTGGCAAAGTTCTTTTTGGCATTTTAATCCAGCGCTTGGCAGCCTTCACTCTTTGGAATTTCTTCCTCACTTCAATACCGGAATCCCTCCTTCTGTAATGTGTCCCTGTTTCCTCTCCCTTTTCCTCCCTGGAGCTGTGTTCTTGCCAAGAAAGAAAGTTAAAAGGGAACAAAGGCATATGGTTTTTCTATTAAGACAGACACCCACATTTTAGGGAAGCCAGAGGAAAGCGTTCAAATAAGGGCAACGGAAATACATTTGCACGACACCAGCAAATCTTTGAAACTGATTTTTTGAAAGGCAACCACAACCATGAGTGCTCCTCTGTGCCCAGTTTATTAAATTTGGGGGATAGTAAGAATATATTGGAGACCCCCCTACTCAGAGCAGGGTATTACAGGAGAGCCCTGGTTTTGGAGTCTGAGGACATGCGTTCAAAATTTGTTTCTGCCACTCACTAACAGTGTAACCATAAGGAAAGGCGTTTGTCTTTCAGAGCCTCAGTTTCCCTTATTGTACAATAGGGGACATCAGCTACACCATGTTCATCTACGTCACAGGTTTGTTGAGAGAGTTAAGTTTAAGGTAGGAAAATCTTTAGCAAACCACGAAGCACTGTAGAAGTGTTAATAATCAAGATTGAAGTCCAGAACAACTTCCTCAGCAACTACTTGGTACAAAGTCCCACCATACGTTTTTGTTTTGAGAAATTGACTAACACTAAACCTCATATTAAAGTGCAAAAGACTTAGAACAAATAACTTCAAAAAACAGAAAAAAGTTGGAAGACCAATACTACCTGATTTGAAGTCTTGTTATAAAGCTATAGTAATCAAAACAGTGTGGCATTGGCACAGAGACAGACCAATAGATACATGGAAGAGATGAGAGTCCAGAAAATGATAGATCAGCACATACATGAATAACTGCCTTTTTTTTTTTTTTGCAGAAGCATAAGGGCAATTGTGTGAAGAAAAGATATTCTTTTTGGCAAAGGGTGCTGAGTTCAAGACCATCCTGGGCAATGTGGTGAAACCGTGCCCCCATCTTTACAAAAAATACAAAAATTAGCCAGGCATGGTGGTGGCAGTGCATGCCTGTACTCCCAGCTACTCAGGAGGCTGAGGAGGAAAGATCACTTTAGCAGGGGAGGTCGAGGCTTCAGTGAGCCAAGATGGTGCCACTGCACTTCAGTTTGGGTGACAGAGCTAAACCCTGTCTCAGAAAAGAAAAAAACACAAACAAACAAACAAAAAGAGCCAGGACAACTGGAGGCACCATGTCCTGCCAGAAATAACTTAAAATTCAATAATATTTAACTCAATCAAGACAGTTGCAGGTTAAAAAAAAATTCAATAATAAGAAAACAAACAACCTCATTATTTCTTTAAAATGAGCAAGATAGGCCAGGCACAATGGCTCAAGCTTGTAATCCCTGCACTTTGGGAGGCCAAAGCAGGTGGGTCACT